AGATCGCCGCGCGATTTACGAGCGATGTGCGTCGCTGCGTTGCGCATCTTATCGACGCACATCTTTCGTCGTCGTCAAGCTAGCTCCTTTCGGGTGAAATATCTCAAAGTCGTCCTCCATCTTCCAAGATCTGAAGAAACCCGACATTGAAGATAGGAATGTTCAGGCAAGATAAGCTTTGGAAGTCTTGAAGTTTGAAAATCTGAATATGAAGGTTTTTCTTCACTCCATACGTCTGTGTATGAGCGACAGTATCGATTGGTGATACCAGCGCCAAAGTAGCAAAAAAAGTCCAAAAGCCATAGGACATTCGCTTTTATATTGTGTAATTTTTGCGCAATCAGCTGCATCAGGTGCACATTCTTGGTCTACTCACAGCTCCAGTCTTGATCGCAAAACTGCAATGTGGGATCCCTAACTCGCGAAGCATGGAGATCTGCTTTAATAGGTTTAAACACTCAGACGTTCTCCAACGCATTTCCCCCTAAAAAGAAAAACTTACCATCCACCCCACTTTTCACTGGAAGCACTTTTTACTAAAGAAGTTTCCCAGGCCATCACCACTAACTGACAACACATCCTGCAAGTGCAATACGGCTGCCGTCACAACGCCAGCACGTCGACATTACATTACCGAAGCCGCTTCCCTCCATTTTACAGCGTCAACCGCTGGCACGAAACTGCATACTTTAGCTCCATCACAAGTGTCCTTCTAAGAGAGAAAATATGCAAAAAGAAACAGGTGTGGATGAAAGACGGTGTTTATCACCTTGAGATCGTGGACAGATGGTAGTGAACAATAATATCTGATTGTGACTATCTATTGCAGATTATTAGATCTTGCACAAGGGATTGGACCGATTTGTTCTATCCAGACTTGTTAGACTGGTCCCATTGATTTACAAGTCAAAAGACTTTATCCTTTGAAAGGTTAGACTCTTCCAGTCCTTTTGCATAATCCCCCTCTTCTCATATTTCTCTTCTTACAACTCCTCGTATCTTCTCGGTCATTCTTTATCCCCTTTCTTTTGACCCTGGTACCACAT